TCCATCAGCACCAACTGCGTTGGAATTGATAGATAAAATGCTCTTCTTAACATCACATTCCGTAAACTGAGTAAAAAGAAACGGGGAGTACTCAGGATTTGGTAAAGTAGAAAGTTGTTGAATGGTTCTATTTTTATCCGAGTCGCTAAGATCGGAGGAAGAAGAAAAATGAGAATTGAGAGAATCAATATTAATGTGATGAGGTAAGGAGTCTTGACGTGTTCTACCAATCCCAAGAGATCTGAGGAATCTCCAGACTTTAGCTGGATCATCCTCTTCGACTGAATTATGAATGTGGCGTCGTAAAGCATCCCTACACACCATATTGCAGTGGTTACGAACCTTGTTATATTTCTCTTTGTTGAGATCACTCGGATTACGTTTAAATTTGCTTTTGGCAATGGCTTTTTTATGTATCAGAGATTTTATATCACTATTTAACCATGGTGCCGGAAGGTGCTTAAGTTTGATGAGATGAAAAGGTGCATGGTTATCGTAAAGTTGAGTGACAAGGTTATTAAAAGTAGTTATTTGCTCGTCAACTGAGGAAGCGTTGGTCACAGGAGACCAATCAATATTACGAGCATCGTCCATAAAAGAATCTTGATCTATACCACCAAAATTGCGCTGAAGGATGACTTTGGGCTTTAATTTAGGAGGCCTAATTTTATAGGAAAGAAATATTAAATCATGATATGAGAAAATGTCGGCTGAACATTGGCCGTGTTTAGAAACATACTGAGTTGAAGAAACTATTATCAAGTCCAGAAGTGACGGGATCGAGTGAGGAAAACGATGGGTGACTCCAAGTGGAAGAATCTGCAGATTGCTAGATCTAATAAGAGATTGGAGGGAAGTGGCACGGATATCATTTTTTTGAAGGCAGGTATTGAAGTCACCCATAATAATTGAATGGTCATAAGACGGAATAATATCCTCCAGAAGGTTTTCAAAAGAGGAGAAGTAATTAACTCTAACTGAAGGGCTGTAATAGACACCGAGTAAGACTCTGCGATGAGAAAGAGTTACTTCAATAAAGAGGTGCTCACCGGCATTACTTGGTGGTGGTTGACTGGAGGCACTAACAATTTTGTATGGAATACTAGATCGTAGATAAATGGCAACTCCACCACCCCCATAGCCAGTACGATCGTTACGTATAAGTTGGAAACCGGGCAGAGTATATGAAGCTGAAGGTAAGCAGGGCTTGAGCCATGACTCGGAGACTAATACAGCATGAAGATTTTTATGATCAAACGCCGCCTGCATATCATAGTAATGGGCCGGAATACTTTGCGCATTGATGTGAACAACATTGAAATTCTTTGGTACATCGGAAAACTGTGTATCAAGTGATTCAGATAATGAAGGAGGTATACTGGCAAAACTGTCGTTACTGCTGCTGACACTGGATGACAGCGATAAAAAAGGGTATTTTTTTAAGGTAGTATTTTTTTTATTTATCCCTGTAAAAATATGGAAACCTGTTTTTCCCGTGAATTTTTTCTCCTATTTAAGCATTTGTCCCTTACGAGCTGAAAAAAATTGGCAACCCTAATGCAAACAAACAATCATTAATACAGCGAACAACGATTTTACCATGCTTTTTTAACTGAGCATAAGAATGGCAAGTAAAGAAGAGACGAGGAAAAAGAAAGGGTAGAAGAACCAGGAGAAGGAAAAATGGAGGATCAGCTGAGAAAAATGGAGGCAATAGAATAGAAAATGGAAGAGACCAAGCAAAAAATGGATCAGGAAAGTGAAGAAAGAATGAGATATAGAGAGACAAGAAATAAGCATGCTGACCTACACGAATCACTAACAATAAAATTCCTTAAAAAATTGGAATGCAAGCTGGTCGAGCTGAAAGATGACGTAAAAGCATTGGTTGACAGATTAGCAGAAAGATCGATGAAAGACAGCGAATTCGTTTCCACCGTCATCGTTAAAAAAATAGAAATAGTAGAGGAAACAATCACAGCAGAAACTTTGGATTTGGATAGGAAGATAGGAGAAAGATTAGGCAAAGGAAATAAAAGTTACGAGTATAGAGACAAAAATTTAAAGGAAATAGTATTAAGAACAGAGCAAAATATAGTATTAGATATGAAAAAAATAGGAAAAAAATAATTGAACGACAAAGGAAAATATTAAATAAAATTTAAAACGGAGAAAACACACACACACACACACACACAATAGACATACAGAAAGTCATAGCAGGTTAGATGGGCAAAATGGGTAAGGAAATAGCAAAAGAGATAACCAAAACACTGGACACAACTATCAATGAATGCATACAAGACCTGTAAAATACCATTACACACGGAGATTAGCACCAGAAGAGAACACCCCCTCAACGACCGACTCGGAGCCATCGCAAACATCACGGGGTAAATAAGAGAAGCCAAGGAGGCAATAAAGGGGGAAATCTCTAAAGAAACTATAGAAATAAGTAGTAACATTAACCATCCACTGTGTCCACTGACTCATACGCAAACAGAACAAGGTGTCCCAAAAATCCGACACCTACTTCACCGCACTCATTTTTGGTCTCCTCAGATAACTCAATCGACACCGCAGAGGACGTAATAAATAAGGCCAAGAAAGTACTACGACTTGACGAAAATAGAGTCCAAATAGACCGAATCAGAAAAGTTAGGGATCAAAAACTCATAAGTAGTTGAAGGGGAAAACACAAAAAAGAGACAGAAGAAAAAGTCGAAGGTTGCAAGTGATTAAAACATAATCAGTATCAAATAAAGACCCTCTAATAATTATAAGAGACATCAAATATAAAATGACGGACGATAAAATAAAAATAGAACCAAAACCCTGACATGCTCTGGGCAGAAGATGAAGCAGAAAACGACATAAAGATACAATATAGAAGAAAAACAATAAACACCCAACGATGTCATGTAATCGCCCAGATCAAACCCGGTCTATGGGAAAAAGTTGTGGCAGCAGGCATCTCTACATTGAGATAGAGTGTGAGGGTCGAAGACCATACACCCCTTATCCAATGTACGAGATGCTTGAGTTTGGACACGGCAAGAAATTTTGAACGGAGAGTGTGGACAAGTGCAGCCACTGCGGAGGTTTACGCCTGTGGGCAGAGTGCCCAGACAGATAACAGAACACAAAGGATATAAAACAGTAACACAAACAATCACCACCATTTCTTACGACATGTCATAAAGAGGCATGTTGAACATGCAAACCTAGACATGGAGCAAGAAAAGACAACACACAAAAATAACGAAAGACTGATGTGGGAAACGTTATTAAAGTATTAGGACAAATAAATAAAAATGGAATAAAAATAAATATGATAAGTAAGGGATAGGAACGTAAAATAAAAATAACAAGTAGCACAAAGATAGCAACAAAAATAAAAATTTTTATAAAATATTAAGTAAAATAAAATAGAATAGGAAAGGTTCGAAATAGGAATGGTTTACCGGGTTATAAATCTAGATCAACAAACTCAATTGAGCCCCCGGACGGAAGGGCCCAGTACCCTCCCGGAACTGCTCGCCGGGACCCAGCCCGGTCATCAACCGGCACGACGATCCAGTCCAAGATTATGCGCGGCATGATAGGGCAGCCTCATGTAGTGGTTAGCTACAATTGGGCCCCTGTACTATTCTGCGGGCGGCCAGCGGAATAACCATTTCTACGGGTCTCCCTGGACGGGAACTCTAGAGCTGAAGCTTTCCAGTAACCCAATAAAAACCCAATCCCTGTTCCACTGGGAACCGGGGCTAAACGCTCTTGGGCAGTCTGGATGTATTAAATCTGATCCCGAACCGCGGTGAACCACTATGACGGGTTTTTCGCTGAACATATGGTGGTCGCTATCCAGTCGGTGTTCCCCTTCTAACAAGCTAAACAGATGGTCGTTTACAGAGATTATCCCAAGGTCGCCTCTTACGACCCCCTAAGAAGATAAGAGATGGCGACATTTGTATTCTTATGCATAATCATGGCATAATCGAAAAGGGGTGACACAGCCAACCTGACCATAAAGTCCGTTAATATAATATAAGCCTGGCCGCCATTTTAGTGACATTATTAATAAACCTTATGTCATTAAAAATAAATATCTAATGTCTTTCATTTCAAAATTATTTTTGGCGATGTTTTAAAAAACCGTCCTCTCCTCAGATTATCGCGATATTACAAAGTAAATGCTATTTTACCATTTCTTTTTATTTTTCATATATATTAATAGCAACATATAAATTAGCCTTTTTCGAGAATTCTCGCATTAAATTAATAAACTAAAAGTTCATTAACAATTACATCAATATTTTGGGATCATTCATAAATATTTTAATAATAATTTCTCTTCAATTTGTGCTATCGATACTTTCTATTTTTAAATTACGTCACACTGGTGTTATTTAGACAAGGTTTCAGCGCATTAGCAATTTGCGGGATTTGTACACTGTCGCATTCTTAATCGACGAAAGCGAAACATTTGCGGAACTATTGCGAATAAGAAACTGCTTCTGTGTAACGTTTTTCGCAGTTGTCTGGGAAACAGTACTGACAAGGACGTAGTTATTTCGTCGAGCTAATAATGCAGTGAGAAGAAGCACATTCTATTAATTTATACTTTTTTGCACCACGATAGGGATGACGACTGGGTAAAAAAAAAATGCAATTCTATTTAGTCCGTCAATCAGATTATAGAAAAATATAAGACACGTATTTTTTTAACTTCAATTTAACAAGGAATAGCTTAGATAACAGGCATTAAAGTTGAGGAGTGGGGACTCGCTACGTCACAGTTGAGTAGAAACGTACCATAACGTGATGTCATGCGAAATTTCAACTCCATGTAACGCCGTAATTTTATGATTACGAAAAAAATAAAAAAATACGTGTTATATATTTTTTAATACTCTACCTGACGGAAAAACAAACAAAAATTAGTCGTCATCCCTATTGTACAAATGGCGCAGTTAATTGGAAATGTTAAATAAAATGACAGATATGGTATCAAAAATCGGATTTATAATTCCGTTTTTCAGTAGTAGGTTAATGTTGTAACAATTTGCCAGGTTACAGAATTGGCCGCAAGAAGCATAACCATGTACTTTTATATAACAATGATACATTTCTTCAGACCTAATAACCTAAATCTTACACAAACTACCTACAAAGATATACAGGTAAAGCTAACATTATCTACATTCATCAATAAGTTATATACAGATAACAAATACAGCGAGAGATATTATATACATTAATTAGACTTATCTGTAACCTGAAAAACTTTGATTTTTCCTACATTCCGGGCAATACCATTTTCCTTTAGGTGGCACCATAATTCCAACACATTCAAAATGGAACCATTCTATGGGGCAGCCTTCTGCGTCACACGCAATCATTTCTGATACTTCATCATAGGGGCAGCGACAGTAACAATACACGCTCTCTCCTTCTCGTGCTTGCCGCACTGCTGGTCTCTGGAACGGGTATGGCAAACTAGAAGTACCCGAATTCAAATATGTCGGAGGCGGAATAGGTGCACTGGCACTGTTAGTAGGTTGATATATCTCTAAATTTCCTTCACTGGAATCAGAATCACTCGATTCCATAGATTCTGTATTCATTAAAATACGTGGTGGCTCAGGATCTGGTATTGGCGCAATTAACCTGATAGGTTCTGTATAATTATATAACTTTTGTGGCAGGACTGATGTCGGCACTTCTTTCTTTGCTTTATGGGTACCTGGAGATGGTAAATCTTCTTTTCTCCACTCTAACTTAGGTGGTTGTTGTGGCTTTAAAGCTGCTATATTTGGAGAAGGTGATTCTTCATCACTTGAATAGCCATAAAATTTATTGGGGACACGCCTCCTCTTAGACGCCCTTTTACTTTCTATAGATGACATAGTTGGAGTACTCAAGTTCGTAATGAGGGTTGTGGGACAAGAGGGTGTTTCGGGCAATTGAACTGTGTTTGAATGTAAAGATATAGTTATTTTATTCAGAAGCGGAGGTGGTTGTTGAGGTGTTTCCACTTCAGACTTTGCAATTACATCTTTAGGAATGTTAAGTTTGAGAGAATCATGTTTTTTGGAACTCCTGGACTTCTTTTTCTTTTTACTTTTCTTTTTAGAACTAGAGGATTTTGCTTTCTCATCAATTACCGTTTTGATTGGCTGTTCCTCTTTGATTGGAGTATTTGGGCGGCTAGCTTCGCCTGATATAGATCCACCATCTGACGGTGCCACAGTTGCTAAAAGCATTAATTGATTACGTTTTTCGGCATGTAATTTATTAGCTATTTTTTGAGGGTGCTTGTCATAAAATTCTTCATCTGTTTCACTCTCATCAGTTTCTAAATCTGTTTCCGCAATAGGTGGCTCTACTTTTTCTGGTATCAAAACAGGAGTTTCAGACATTCCCATAACATCTACATTAGATCCATTACTGATTCTTCTATTTGGCAAAGTCTTTTTTAATTGCTTCTTCTTTTTCTTGTCATTACCTAAATTTTTCTTTTCATTACCTGAGTCATCAGATGAATCAGTATCAGAAGAACTAGAAGAGGAAGATCCACTGCTGGATGAGCAGCTACAATTAGATCCACATGAGCAACTCGAGTCACTGTCGCTACTACTACTACTTGAAGATGATAATTCTCCATGCTTTTTCTTTGGCGATTTCTTATTTTTCTTTTTACTAAGACTAAATGGATCATTATCGCCATTTATATCTGATGGAATTAGACAGTAATCGTGATCAGATTCACACACATGTTTCCTTATAGGAACTAAGGGTGGTGTCTTTTCTTTTTGTTTCTCAACTTTAGCTTGATATTTCTTGAAGTTATCCCAGATATCCAGTATTTGTTGGTCACTTGGTTTTTCTTCTTCAACTATATCGCTTTTTTCCAATTTTGGAAGTTCAGGTTCCAAATTATTTATCTCATTGTTTATATCAGTATTAGGAATAGATGTTTCTTCAAGTTGTATTTCTTCTTTTTCTTCCTTTTTTACAGGTGTTATGTCATTATCGGATTCATCACTGCTATCACTCTCTGATAAATCTAATGCTGGTAGATTTACATCTAAGAGTAAGGCATCTTTTTCTTTCAATTTCTTTTTTTTCTCTTTTTTAGATAACTGTTCAGATCCAATATTAGTTTTTATTTCTGAAGAACCAACTTCGTCTTTGGGTTTTTCATCTACTAAATCAATTATCTGAAGGGGTTCTGTCGAGTGCTCAGTGGTTTTCTCTGCAGTAGGAGTCATTTCCTTAGTTAATTCTTCAGTTGTTAATTTCTGTTTATGTTCATCAACATGTTTTTGAAGCAATTTTTTTGATACAAACTTTTCAGTACAACCTTCTTCTTTACATAAGTGGGGATACTCTTCTGAATGAAACCTTTTATGAACTTTTAAACAAACTGCCCTAGTAAATTGCAAATTACATTCTTCACATACAAATATAGCTGGTGGTGTACAGAAATGATAGACATGTGGCCATTTCTTCTGAAGACATTTTTTACATAATACACTTTCAGTGCCATGTTTCCAGAAAAGGTGATTTGTTATGTCAGGTTTATTTCTATAAGCAATACCGCAACGGTAACATAAATGATGTAACTTGTGTTTCCAAACATGGTTTGACAAACGTGCTTGGTTATGACAAAATTCTAAACATACATCACAAGTGTGGTGTATTTTTCTCAAATGTACCATTAATCTAAAAGATGACGGTATAGAATCTACATTGCACAAACAGCATCTAAATTTAATTTCATACTCAGAATCATAAGTTCCAGGACATAAATGACATAGTAATTCACTATAACTGTAAAAGTTTGATTTACACATAACACATAATAATATAGTTTTTTGATGCATTTTGCGATTATGTAAATAAAGGTCTTTATGAACGGCAGTTTTAAAATAACACTGAAAACATTCAAATATGTGATCAAACTGCCCTCCTTCACATTTATCCACACTGTCATAGGAGTATAAATTTATGAATATTGAGTGCAATTCTGGTGCTCCCACCTTTAATCGGGCAGTGATTGTCTCTGGCATCAATTCTTCAGCTGTTATACTGTTAACAGTAGCGGTGAAACGATGTTGTGCAACCATATGCAAAGATAATTGTTCACAATTGACAGCAATTTTTCTAACATGGTTACAATAGATACAATTAAAAGCTGTATGTGATACAAAAACTTTTAACAAATCTTTTAACACATATTTATCTAAAGGTTTATCCAATGCGAGTTCTGTAACAGGTATTTCTGGTTCTTCCACCTTTGGTTCATTGAGAATATCCAGATTATCACACTCAGCTTTTAGCTCTGTGTCAGTACATGAATTAACAGGAGTTTCCAATGAGTCTATCACAGGTTGTTGTTCATGTGACTCAGTTTCATTTTCTTCTGCTGTTAAAAAGTTATCTGGTTTCTGTGGTTGGGGCAAATCTTCTGCCTTTGTTTGTTTATCCACATTTTCATTAACTGTCAATTTATCACTTGTATCACTGTCTGAAGAATAATCACTGGATGAATCCTTATCCAAAAGTTCTTTAGGAACTCTAACAGTTAACTTTGGTACCCTGTTAAGTGTATTAACATCTTCTAATTTGTTATCATAAATTGTAGTTTTGATGCTGCTATCAGATTTAAAATCAATTATTTCAGGAACAGAATCCAGATTATTATTTAAGAGAGTTTTCAGTGTAGGTTCCTTAACATCTTCGTATATAGTTGTCTTTACAAAAGGACTGTCAGATTTATCACATATAGTCATCTTTATCGAAGGAGCTTTTGGCTGTGAATCAGATGGCAACTCTTTTTCATAACGTTTTGGAGGTCTTCTTACTCTGCTTGGTGGTTTGTGTGTACTTTGTAATCCAACTGTGGGATCCACAGTAGAGTTTATAATAACTGGTGAATTTGCTTTATTCAAACTAAGTTTCAATTTAATGCCTTGTTCCTTTTCTTTCTCAAGGGGTTGAATTATAGGTTCTATATTTTTTACAGGGGATTGCTCTGATAAGGGTGAAGGAGGTTCATCATTTAGAAGTGATTGATTATCATCTGAATGTTCTATACTATCATCACCATTTGATATTAATTGTTCAACTTTCTCAGGAGTAACAGTGTCTTGAGTTAAAGGACTTGTTGGTTTAACACTGGAGCTGTCCAATTCCATTCCAGAATCTTGAGTATTACTAGTGTCTTTACTTGTACATACTGAGTTTTCTGAACTTACACTTGTATCACTATTTACAGGTTCAGAAGTATCAGGAATCATGTCAGGACTTAAAGTTTTCTGTAGTTGCCCTTTGTAATTATCTAACTTGACATTGTCAATGATTTCATTTTTGTCACAATTAGCCTTTATAAGTTCCTTGTCAGTTGTAGGTCCATTTGTACAAATTTCATTATAATGTTTGTTACTGCTCCTCACATTATTTGTTTTGGATGTATTTTTATTGACACGCACAGGCACAGGTCTGGGTTTAACTTTGTTACAGTCATGACTGTAAAAGTCATCTTGTTCACTGTATATCTCATCACATGCACAGCACATTAAATATAATTCTCCATTATAAACTTTGTAAAATTCTTCTTTACTATCATAATTAACTTCTTGAACATAGTGTTTATTAGTCAGATGTGATGAAAGCTTTTCAGCCTTTGAAAACATTCCAAGACAAAACAAGCAAATATGTCTATTATGCACTTCTCTCATATGCAAAAAGAGATTCCAATTTTCATAATATGTACCACAAGCAGAACACAGGTATACTTTTCTTGTAACTCGAGATGGTCCTCCTGAATTGTTGTCTGCAGTCGGAGCAGCTTCAGGGCTCAGTGTAGGCTCCTTAGCTTGTGCACGGCAAACTAACTGATGTTCTTTCAACATAGCTAGTGTTTTGAATGACATTGAACAACATTTCCTGCATTTAAACTTAACCATAGGTTGCAGACCTAAGCTTTGAGCGTATTCCTTCAACTGGGCTCCTTTTTCAATTTTACCTTTTTTAAATTGTAATAGCTGACTTTTGGGCACAAGCCGAGGTACAGGTTTATCTTGTTCATTATCAAAAGCATTACCCGCATGTGATGTAACATGATGAAATTGTGTGTTGTTTACACGTTTATGAACAAGTTTCGGCACCTTAGGTATAGTATTTGTTGCATTTGTATCACCAGATTTAATCACATAAGGCTTTTTCTTCTTGGTAGAATTGTAGTGCTGATTAGAATTATCAACAAAAGGTCTTTTGCCCAAGTGAATTCTAAGAGGGTTGATTCGTTTTCTGAACTTGTCGTCTTTGATTGCGTCGACGTTCTGGTGCCGCGGCTCCAACGAATCGTCGGCCGGGCTGGAAGATTCTCCAGAGATGTCATGCCCATTAGTGGTTAATTTCGATGATCGCTCACTGTATAGATTTGCCAATGCAGCGATTTTATCTTCTTTTATGTTAAAAACATTACCATCTTCCATAGTTTTCTGAAAGCATTAACACACGTGTTAATAATCATTGGAAAACAAAAGACGTTCAATTTTTGGGAAAACGGAACATCATTTTGAACTATCACACTCTAAATAACAACAAAAATGGTTCCTTTACCTCTGAAATCGTACGTCCAGTACGAGTACAAAGATGAAGATTTATTTCCATGCATCCGTTTAGACAGAGAAATCCTTACATCTGGCTTATTATGAAGCAGCCGCAAGCTGGTCATTCCCGTAAAATGGCGTCACTTTGCAGAGTGAGGAATGGTGATATCAGTAGCATCGAAAAAGTTTTTCACAACACTCGTCATATTTCACTTTATTAATGTTATTTGAGAAATAACGTAGCTTGTTTTGTTAGAAACAAATTTATTTATACTCGTAATGAATGTTTGGTTTCAAACAAATTAATAAAAACCAACACAGGTACACAGCGCGGAAGCTAATTCACGAACCATAGACAAACAAAGTATTATACTCTTTGAAAGTCTATGTTTGACAAAGACTAAAAGTGCGTTTACACCAAACCAACAATAAACTAGAGATAGAACAAGAACATTCTTTCTCAATCTTTTAGTGTAAACGAGAGATCGTTTCGAATATTTCCATCAAGTTTAAACCAAAATGTCAATGAGGATTTAGTTTATGAGAATTAAGAACTGGAATTTTGTACAATGTTTAGATCTGCGATCAACAATGTATCGATCAAATGAATGCTCATAATTTATGTGTAAATGTAATGGTTGGCATAAAGTGGTAAGGAAGTATTTAAAAAAAAAATAAAGTATTAAAAATACACACCAGTAAATGGTAACTCTAGCAAAATTTGATTTTTGCAGGAAATTACCAAAGATAGATATTTCCGATCCTTTTTACTAACATATTAAAAAACTGAGATTCGCAAAGCTTGAAACTAAGATATCAATACAAATATGAAAAAGTAAAAAAAAGAATATTAGTTGTTTATTGAGTTTTGAAAATTAATTTATTTTTATACATGAAAGAAAACCGGAAAGTTGTCATGGAGAAATTAAGAAAGTACCGGAGCGACATCTAGTTTGATTTCAAGTCTCATAGCCAGTGGAGCCAATAATAGTTCGTCACAATCACTCATAATCAAAACAAGGGGTCAGATTTTGGCGGGTGTCACATTTACTTCTTTTCTTTTTACATGAAAAATTCGAGAAACACTTTCGTCTAAACCAAACGTCACGTAGACAAAACGTTCTCGAGTTCGTCATACTACACATCCAAGTTGAGAAAATATTCCAGTAACAGTCGTTATGAACCGAGTTGATTCCACTTGTTTCTAAAGAACGCTTTCTAGAGACCGCTACGAAGAGTGAGTTTCGAACACGCTTCGAAATTGCTCTAATAGGTCATCCACATGAGCGAGTGTTTTGACTTGTAATTCTTACATAGAGATATTATCCAATCCTAGACTGATTGCATAAGGGCAGTTCGAAAATAAATTGCCTGAGTTTCTAAATGTGTGTGTTGTGATTAAACCCAATAATAGACGGATTTTTAAATTAAGTTTTGTAGCAACTACACATGAATAAACTGTGTGATTGATTAGATTTGCACATACTAGATAGCGTTGCACGTTTCTCAATGACGCTATCAGTTCGTTTATATATTTCTTATTAATATCAAACTCATGCAGGTGACGGTTACTTAAAACGTTCGGGTTACGTACCCAAAAGGTAAAATGGAATAGCGATGGGCGACTATTGCAAAAAAACGATCGACTGGATTGAAAATTATGCTAGTGCGAATTCTATTGTCGATTTAGTAGTTCCCTGCCATGGTTATCCGAATAACAAACGTGTTAACAACTAACTGTACGCACACTATGTGATCATTGTGTGTTATGCGCGTGCGGTCGGTTAACTGCACGAAGTATTATGGTGTTGCGTTTTAATCGACGATTATAGATATTGGATGTGCCCCACGATTTTATTTCTAATTTAATCAATGCATAATATGTTTAAAATTTGTATATTTAAAAAAGGTCGTCTTTTATTAAAGGTATTTACATTAATCTATAAATACATTGCATTGTCAGGATTTTATGTGAAAATAAGAAGTTTATGGGTTTACTTTATTTTGAAAATGTAATAATGTATACAATACATATTGGTACTCATTACTTATTGGTATTTTTTAGCTTTTAGTACATTTATCTGCAACATTTTTCTGTTTACAGTAAAACCGGTTACGGTTTTTTTTTAATATGTTAGTTCAAAGGAACGGAAATGACTATCTTTGGTCCATTCGTTTACTGCAAAAATCAATTTTTGGTAGAGTCGGCATCTAGTGAGGTGATTTTTATGTGCTTTCTTTTTTTCTTAAATTTAAATTATATTAGCATGTATAATGAATTACACGTATACTTTACTAAGAAAAATAAAATTGACAGTGCGATCTAATACTTACCCAGTTCCGGAGCTCAGTTTTCGTCTAGCTAGAGTATTAGCACAAATGTGGTATTATGTTCCTTGGTTGTCGCAGTGGTGGTCACAGTGGATGGTTTGGTGCCGTATTTGTGTATTGTTTTAGTATGGGAGGCGTTATCTTGTTATATTGTTGAATAAAGATTGTCATGAAGAAATTAAGAAAGTATTCTAGCGACATCTAGTTTGATTTCAGGAACTATTATATTTTTTTTAATGCTCCCTCCATTAAATGTAAAGAAAAATGTCTATGGTCTTGTAAATGTGTACTAGGACGAGTGATTGTCTGTGCGTATTTGTCAAAGAAGGGAAGGGTACTTAGAGTTTTAAGATTTTTATATTTTGTTTTATTGGATTTTCTTTATATTATTTTAATTAAATAGACAATGCTCATACAAGATGATGTCTGATCAGTTTAGAAAAGTAGAGCAATATTCTCCGAAATCCTCACCAAGAGGAGCGAGATCCCCAGTGGTCTCTCGTCAGGATTCGTCTGGAACTCTCAAGACTACCATATCACTCGGCAAAAATCCATCTATCGTGCACAGTGGACCATTTTATTTGATGAAAGAACCACCAGGTAACATTATCTTTCTTTGGTAAATTATTCTAAATATTTTAGAGATAACTTTATTCGTCTATTTCAAAATTGCAGGAGAATGTGAATTAACTGGAGCAACAAATCTGATGGCATACTATGGTCTGGAGCACTCATATAGTAAATTCAATGGCAAGAAACTGAAAGAATCTTTATCATCATTTTTGCCAAATCTTCCTGGTATTGTTGATGGTCCTGGGCAAGAGGATAACAGCACCTTAGGTTCAGTTATTGCTAAGCGACCGATTGGAGGCAAAGAATTGTTGCCACTTACAAGTGCACAGTTAGCTGGCTTCAGATTGCATCCTGGTCCATTACCAGAACAATATCGCTATGTTAGTGCTACACCACCTAAAAGACATAAAAGTAAACACAAGAAACATAAACATAAAGATGGTGCCCCCCCTGGACAAGACACTCCCTTGCAAGGTATTAACTTAGATAGAAGTCAATTATCAGTGTATAGTGTTGTAGTTTTTTATGAATTGTTTTTATGCACATTCTTAAAAATATTTATTTGGTTTTATCATAGTTAATATCTCTAATGACAATTTAATAACTTTATTTGATATTTTACAGATTCGTCTAATCAAGATTCATATAAAAAGACACAAAAAAAGCAGAAACGTCATGATGATGATAAAGAACGTAGAAAACGAAAAAAGGAAAAAAAGAGGAAAAAGCAAAAGCATAGCCCTGAGCATGGAGGACTTACCCCGAGTCAGCACCCAGTAGCTTAAAAAACCAGAGCCACTCAACTCGATAAAGTAATAGTATTTACTTTGGTTTAAATTAAAAGTAGTGACAATAATAAATACATCAATAATTTATAAATATTAATAATTATTATCAATTGTTGTATTTATTATTTCAAACAAAAATCTTCATATTCAGCTTAAGTTTTGATAATATTAAGACCTAGATAAATGTATACAGTAATTATAATATAATATTGTAAGTAATTATTTTCATGTAATTGGCTATTAGTTCTGTTAAATGTCATTTTTACCCTTAAAACAGATAAGAAACTTTTGTACCATTGTCATTACCAAATTTATTTTATAATGCCCCATAAAATGACTACACTTTTAAAAGGAGGTCATATTTCAAAGAAACCATTAGTGATGTGCATTATGTAGTGTAATTACATGCTATAGCCCAATGTTATAGTATGTTTCATCTCATATGGTACACATGGTGAATTTTCATTTCCACAAAGTTGTTCTACCAATTGGAAATTATGAGTCTTGTTCTATGATACTTGAATCATTCTGATTGACCAGGATATGCAGCTCTTCACAATTTAACCTTCCATGTAGGTACATCAATGAGCCAGTTATTTGTATCTTGCTGTGCCCATGTGTGATTTAGACAATGTAAAAATGATAATTTGTTAGAATAAGTATTATTAAATAAATGTTTTTTTCTGAATTTTGTCAAGTAATATTATTTCAAGGTAAGTAATTTAATGACTGTTGTACACGGATAAGTATGCTATCAAGCCTATAGTGCAATCCACCATGACACTGTATGTACAGTATGGTGTGAAAATGGAGTGTCGCATTACAGACTTGACGGTAAATTTGATCATTTATGGTAGCTATTCCTCAACTCTGATCCCTAAACTTTAAAGGCAGATAGCTCATAGAAGCCTGCATAAGGTTCTACCACATTGTGCAGTATTTTCAGATTTTTGCTCTTCAATAACGTACATACAATCTACAAATCTTTTTTTAGGACAACCTGTAAACTATGCAGTAAAAAATGTGCGGTGTGTGAGGATTGTCTATGGCAGTACTATGATGTTTTATTTACAGTAAAAACCACAACATAACAATTTTATTTATTATAATATTTTTTTATATATACTAACTAGATGTGTACAATTCATGTACATTTTATTAGTAAAGGATTTTTATGCCTGTTGAACCCACTGCGTCAGAGTATCACACCCCTGTTGCTCTTAAGGCGGCAGGGATTGTGCTCAAAGCATTTCAATGACGAATAAAAAAAATAAGTTGTATTGTTGCTTGGCTAAACGAAATTCTAATTGCAGTTTGAGGGACCGTTCTATGGAACATTTGTGATCTAACAACAAGTATATTTTATAGAGGTCCGCCGACTGCAATGAGGACATAACACAACTTGTTTCTTTTTATATGTTCGATTTTGGCAATCGTTGCGTTTTTCAGTTCTAACAGCCAGTCGCACAAACGTTCATTTATAGTCATTAGTTTAAAGCGACATTATACAAATTTGATATACATTAGAACTTAAAGACGTCATTAAACCTTAACGGACGTTTGTGCAATTAACCGATTACCCATAAAGACCTTCATTAGAGTTTAAAGGCGTCATTATACCTTAACGGAAGATTGTGCAATAGACCGTAAATCGTTTAATCTATATTTTTATTTCTTTTGGTGACGCTAATATTTGCACGACGTCGCGTCGATTTTCAGTGTGAACTGACCTTTAAAGAGAATAATTCATTATAAAATCTAAGAGAGTGGCGCTGCTGTTGGACTGGCAGACACACCAACATTATAATAATAATAAATTTAATAACAAATCATCATCATCAGCCCTTTTACGTCCCCACTGCAGGGGCTCAGGCCCATCTATGGATGATTAAGGAGGATGCCGAGGCCGCGGCGTTTATTCTATACGCCACCGAGCTACTAATAAATCATTATTATATTATTAAACTTTGGACACGTTGATAGGGCAGCCAGGGAGGTAATCCTACCACGACATGTGATCAAGGAAGTTCAAAATATAAACAAAACCTGTCAAAATTAGGTTCAAGGATTGCAAAAAAAAATTGTGTGGACATCTCCACCCTATTATTTAATGTGTTCAATAAATTCAGACAAAACGCAACATCCGTCCAAAGAGAATATAAACACTACATTTCATTCGTCTAATTTAAAATATCTAGTAAAGGTAAAAGATAAATAAAACAACAGTTCTATACCGAAATTTATTCAAAGTATCTAAAATTTATACATAAGATTGGATTCAATTCGTAATAAGTTGGTCAACCTGGTTAAAAATAAAACAATAAATTAGTAACGCAGCACCAAAATACCTACATACAAAATGATAATTCTACATACAAAACGACTGACTTGCGGATACTTCTTTAGCTGGAGAATGCGGCATATTATTAACATTTGTAGATACTCTAAAAAGACATGCTATGTTTATTCGTATACGATTACCAATAAAAATATATTTAAATATTGATTTTTTATTGACAATATTCATAAACAGAAGTGCATGCCATTCTAAAGACGACAACGAGGCGGTCAAAAGCTGTAAATTCTCTAAAATGTCTAGTTATCCATAACTCCTGAATGTCACCTAAAATTTTAATTATATTACAAACAGACTAACTGTTGCAATGAGCATTAAAAAAAAAATCTTGTTATGGACACATTAAACACTAAAGCTTATAATATTTACAAGATACTCGCAAACATTTATAAACACTACCCGACGTTGTGAGTATCCTCGTCGCCGACAATCAAGCTTATCACTACCCGCAATATGGAAGTCATACGAGACCTAACTACCGGTATGTATGAGACGAATTATTGTATTCTACTAATATATCTTGGTGCGTGATGGCACAGAAGTGAGCGTGACCGAAGCATCACTAACTTTAACGACTATATATACATCGATCATTTCAACATCTTTCACTACGAGTCTGATAGAACTGTATTTACAATACATTATCTATTAGTCATGTTATGCAGAGCTAAAAAACAACAAAGTATTTTAACTTATAATAATGCACAATTAAATAAATGCCGAACGTAAATTGAAGAATGGCGCTATAAGATAATAGTTAAGAGTGTGGTAACTTTCCCATTTAAATCAAATTATAAAAAAGTATTATATTCACGAAATATAAAAATACACGTGGCCATTAACAAGGCTACATCATAATGGACGTTTACATTCGCACTCATCTATCACATTCAGTGCAGTACATTTTTGAGCAACCACTTTTATATTTAATGAAGCATTTACCTAGCGTTATGTTCGTTTAGCCATGGCATGAAGCGAATTATTACAATAGCTAAATTAACAATGTATGATACCAATGGCAAGGAATACAATAATAAGATAAAATCTAAACAATACGTCATATACAATAGACGGCAAGTTAAATCGAGACGCCTAATTATAATAAAGCCTATAAAAATACAACGTAATTATGTCTTCTATTATTTATACGTATGACAAATAAATAATTGCATCTATTAATAATAATATTCTTTAAATTATACATCGTGTTACATTTATTTTTACAAAATTAATGATTAAGCGATTAAGTTAAATTATAATATTATGGTTATACAACTTCCAGCCAGTTGCACAAATCTCCATTTTCATTAGTTTCAAGCGACATTACCCATACAAATTTGACTTTCATTGGAGCTTAAAAGCGTCATCAAACCTTAACGGACGTTTGTGCAACTGACAAATAATTTAAAAACACAACCAAAATTTTTAGGTGGTTTCAGACTACGCAATTGCATATAGAATAAATAATATTATTACAGCTCTAGTACTAGTCTGTGCAGGCCCGGGTCTGGGGGGCAGTGTTAGGGGGCGCCATAATCATCATTAAATAATGTTAAAAAAAGAACGACCTTATAGGCTGCTAAGGGACTGATATGCTTCAAAAACCCTAAAATCAAATAAAAGTAAAATAATACATACATTATATTATAATATAATAATTTGAAATCCGGCTTCACGGAGCCTTAGAGTTGAGGAAAGGCGCCATACAAAATTTCTGCCCTGGTTAGATAAAATCATAGATCCGGGCCCGAATCTGTGACCCTGAAATCCATCATAATTTGGTCATGCCTGCGTACTATTATGCATTCAAAACGCAACATGTTTATTTTCCTAAATGCTGTTTTAATATTCGTGAAACGTTTTTAGTTAGTTTATTATTACTTTTAGTCAATGTGCAATCCAATCCAATACTTCGGGCAATCCAATACTTCTAGATTAATTTAAATTTGCGGAAATTTGAATACCGAATATGGTGATTTCATGTGACTGTAATACAGGTACAATATATGACAGAGTATCGAGGCTGTTTCGACATGGTTATACGGAAAGCAAGTACCTTCCGTACAGATTTGCCGTAATTAGTTTAAAGCGAATGTGAAACGTTAATTGCCCCGTGAATATACACACGACTGCACGTCAGATTACCGCAATATGTCAAAATTTTCGCAATTGATTTTGAACTCTACACTCAATTTATTAAGGTTCAAAATCAAGTGGTAGTGGAAATTTTGTCAGTTTTGTAAAAGCTGATGTGCTGTTGACTGTACACAACGATCTAGATTTTCTTTTATATAATATTAATGTTATACTTCATCACTCAAAGAACCCAACTAAAAATCGACAAGTCAAACTATTACGATTCCTACAGACCGATCTCAATGTAATGAAGTAGGCCGATGATAAATGATTTTTCCACAAGGTCCGCATGGAAACTGGTGGGCGGTCGCGATGTAGAGCCAGGGGTGTCACAGCTCTTTGAGAAGCGCTGACTTTGCATTCTTGAGTTTGTCGAGTCGCTTGGTGAGGTGACTGTTCTCCGTCTCCAACTCCTCGACACGATTGAGAGCTTCCCGCGCCTGTAAAAGAAGCAACCAGTTAGTGAACAATAGTGTGGACGTTGACGTGGATGTCCAGTGTGACCATATTTAAAAATTATTTTACACTCGAAACTTTTTTGTAATCATTTATAATGTTGCTATGAATTTAATAAATAAATTAGGTTTTTTTTTCTTGATTTTCTACTATAGATGATAAGATACTATAAACCTAAAGACAGCGAAAGACTATTTTGCCGATCTCGAATATGTGTATTAAAAAATTTTCAATGTAAATTTAGTTTTACTTATAATATTAATATTTATTAAAATCTTCTTTGAATATTTACAATATACTTAAAGCTAGACATATATATGTAGAAAATAAAAATCGTGTGTCTGACTGAACTAATTGATCCTGTTTGTCAGGCAATACGGCAACAATTTTACCAAGTATTTTACTAATGTATTTTGTAAATATATTTTACTCATTCATTCATCGTATGAGGTTATAAATTTTCAACAGCTGTCAGTGTTCAATCTGCCATTCGCATATAAATCTGTCTTTGTCTCGTTTGACGGATAAACATAGATATGAGAGAAACGAAGATACTAGTCCATAAAAAAAAACAATTTGGGAAGCTACGTCCTGATTCTCAATAAAATGGCGCAACCGTTGTATATGATCACTTGTTTAGATATTTAATTTGTTGGCTTTGAATAACCCGAGGGTCTATTATTCTTAAAATTTTATTAAAATCATATCTGTGCATCGCAGGCAGTGCCAGGTCCTAGCACCGTTGCATCATAAACTATAGATTATTTTTATTATTTGGAGTCACATTAGCGTTTCAAAAGTAGACATTTACGTTGACAATCGAAAATTCACTATTTTACAAAATTTGCTCTTAAATATTCTACTAAATCTGGTCACACTGGTTGTGGCATGCAAAGGTCCTTAATTGCGGCAACACCATATAGATTAAATTAAAAGTGGGAGCTTTAAGTAAGGAGGACACAGTCTAGTTATATTTACAATTCGGTTAACATATTAGTCGCTCTCACTTGGTACACATGTATAAGGGTAATATTAAAGTATTATAGTGGCGTCGGGACATTCACACGCGGTGGTCAACTGTACCGTTAACTGTCGCCATTATTGATAACGGCCCAGAAGTCAACGACTTCCTGAAAACAAATCACGTTATACTTAGTTTCATTAAATATAGGTGTGTACTTTATGTGGATATTAATATCAGTTCACCGCTTCATTATAACTTCACGAATCCCAACAGTTTATCGAGTTCACACGACTGCGCTATAAATATAATCTAGTTCAGTCATTAGCACGTTGTGCTATTGTTTTAAAATGCTTACATAATAACAAACGTAAAATGGATATTCAGTAATTATAGATTACCCACTGTTGATACTAATTATTCTATTACTAGTTGTACCGCTACTACAAATCATAACATACGAATCTTTATCGCTTACGATATAGAGTTTAGCCTGCGCCAACATTACTGAGGTCTCTCAAATGAAAATATTTTTCAGTATAACAAATCTAGTTCGCCTAAGACTGCTAATGTAACGGTTAGTGCGACTTTTTCGTACCTCATCGAAAACGTACTCTGACTGCATCATGAATAGGGATGACGTTAATTTTTGTTTGTTTGTCCGTCAGGTAGAGTGTTAAAAAATATGAAACAGGTATTTTTTAATTTTTTTCGTAATCATAAAATTACGGCGTTACATTGAGTTGAAATTTCGCATGACGTCACGTTAGAGTAGGTTTTCTACTAAACTGTGACGTAGCGAGCCCCCACTCCTCAACTTTAATGCCTGTTATCTATACCATTTCTTGTTAAATTGAAGTAAAAAAAAATACGTTACTAATATTTTTCTATTATCTGATTGACGGACTAAATAGAATTGCATTTTTTTTTTACCCAGTCATCGTCCCTATTCAACAAGGCGGGCACTACACCGCGCGCTATAGCGACAGTCGCGAGAGTCGCGCGAGTGACTCACCTCGCGCTGCAGCCGCCGGCGCTCCTGCTTGAGCTGCTCCTCGTGCTCGTCCTGGTGGTCCTGCCTCGCGCGCAGGCGCGCCACCTGCGCCTCGAGGCGCGCCACGCACGCGCCCTGCAGCGCCGCCTCCGCCTCGGCGCGCGCCGCCCGGGCCTTCGCTTCCGATACGCATCGCCTCAGCGTTTCCACTGAACACGAAATTGTTATACTTTTTTTAGATTAGGCAATCAATTTACATACTCAACAGAGACGTCTTAGAATTTACCTTATAATTTGTAAACGGTTATTGCGCGTAGATAAATATTTTTTTGTATTTACACCATAAATGTTCATAGAAAGAATAACATGGATAAGACGTTTTTACGGAAAGTATTTCCGGATTCAATTTCGGTATTATTACCGTTCCGGTAAAAGTGAAGTACCAAAATTATTAAAAATTAAGGTTCCTATTATTTTAAATAGAATATATTTTATGCTTTAAAAACAGAACATTTTTTAGTTTGAAATAAATTTCGTATCTAGATCCCGGAAAGAAATCATAATGATCAAGCAAATGAAATAGATATAATTTAAAAAAAATGATAACTCAAAATAAAAAATACCGAAAAATTATGACTATTGTGACTCACGTTCGTTCTCGTACTCCTGGTCGTGTTGCGAGTGAACGCCGTTATGTGTGGCGGCCCGCTCCTCGTTCAGTTGAAGCTTCAACTTGCGCACCTCTGATTCTAACGCCTGCTTAGAAGCGAGTAACTTCTGCAATCGGACATCTGCAAGACACATTTACGTATAATAAAGCAATATATAAATATATATAAAATATATTTAAAGAAGAATGGGCAAATGTGGTTTCGCTTTGTCACGATATTAAACCTCTTTCAAAAAATAAGTTTTTAATTTTACCTAAATACCTTAAAATATGCAGCCCTAACTTCGACGGAGTATAATGTGTTTAAAATAAAGGAAGGTAACTGATTTTGCTACTTCTCTAAAATATTCACCATATTTATGTTTTTTTTAATGTTGCCAGTAATAAAAATCTACGTCAATTATATAAATCGATATTGTATTTGAATAGGCAAGAGCCCTGAAACATGAAAGAAGAAAAAACATTTAAAATGATGAAACAATGGATGAAACAACTGGATGAAACCTTATGAGCGGAATCGATTAATTGAGTTTCAGTGCTGCCAAAACAAAACATATTAATATAAAAAACGTTTTATGTGGCTGAAGAGGGTATGCATTATTTGCAAGGTCTCATCAAGTACCACATGTATTATGACATTTTTACAGTTGTGTCATTTTAAACCCCCAACATGTTTAATCGTAATTAATAACCTATGCTCTATGTCAGTTAATAGTATATTGTTGAGTAAAAATAATTACATTGTTCATTATTAAGAACATAAATAAATAATTAGTTTTAATGATTTAATCGAATCAAGTCGATTAAAAATAGTCGATTTATAACATTTTTAGAATGGCAATAATGACATGCATGACCCGCTAAATGAAAGGCATACATTGACACAATTGACAGCTGTCACTACAGTATTGCCTTTCGTTCTGTTAAGTTCGTTTGTTGAATGCTTTAGTGATTTTCTTCTTTCTTTAAGTTTTACGTCGAGTGAATTTCGAGTTCCTCCGTAACTATAGAAACTGAACATGTTCGAGACAGAGACTCTTTTTTTCGTGTGTGAATTGTGTTTGTACCAATAACATTAACATTACTATTACTTGAACTTCAGCAGCTTATTTCTCATGAATCCGTCGAATTAGAGTAATTTTTTTTTTTTGTAATTGAATCTAAGGCCAAAACCCTACAAAATGATGTAGGTTTCATCATGGCACAAAAAAAAATTTGAAACGAAACTCCATACATCATTGCCCATTCTCCTTTGCTTGTTACTTATTCATTTAACAATTTAAATTGCTAACTGTGTGGATCTGTAATTGGTTATCTGATGTATGTAACGATATTGTAAGATCATTTATGCAACCGTAGATCTACCATGAAAAATAAAATAAAATAAAAATAAATCAATACGAGTTCAACAGTTGAAAGCCGTATACTGACTGAGCGAGTAGATGACATACAAGAATGCGAGATATGTAATCGGAAATAGTAATTTGCCCACCAACACAAGAAGATATAATTGGTCACCTAAAGTTCCTTCGCCAGCTTCATTGAGCATCTGCTCGGACTGGTGCGACACTAGCGCCAGCGGTGGCACCGAGCCGAAGCCGGGCGCGCAGTCGTCTCCGTCCGCGTCCCCGTTGGTCCCCCGCGCGGCGTCCCCGTTGGTCCCCCGCGCGTCCCCGTTGGCCCCGCGCACGGCCGCGTCCACGAACGCGTACCCCGCGTGCGCGGCGGCCGCGTCCCGCGCGCGGATCGCGTCACGCGCCGCGCACACCTCCCGCTCGAGGGACGCGTGCTCGCGCTTCAACCGCTCGTGCGCTGAACATTTTTCCCTATGCTCGCGCTGTAAATTATTATCAATTTTAAAGTTAAATAAAGAGTAATTTATTGAATGCACATAACAGTAAGTCAAATAATGAAAGCCACTAAATCCGATACCGTTTCTTATCCGTTTTCTTTTAATTGTAATTTTCATTAAGCAAATAAGTAATTTATTAACGAATCAGTGCCGTACCAAATGTGGTTTCAGCTCATACTGAACAGAGGCTTGTTAATTGTCTACTCGTTTTTAGGGTTGCGTAGTAAACAAGAAACATTTATAGTTTCGCCTTGTCGGTCTGTCCATTGGTCTCGGTTTAGCTCGAAAACTATTGGTACTAGAAAGTTATAATTTGGCATGAGTATGCACGTCACTTACGCGGACAAGGAGTTAAAATATAATTTCGATAAAATTCTTGAGTACATGTAAAGTGAGGATAATTTATTTTTTTTTGACTTCCCTTAAAAGAGTTAATTTTCGTTAGAGTCAAGTGTGGGGAACACTTGACTCTAAGTACCTATACATAACGAAGGTAAAAGGAAAACTATCATACTTAAGTTGGCTTTAGAAATTTACGAGTAATACTCGACCAATTAATTGAATTTACTCCAAAATTTGGAACAACAATACAGAAAATTATAAACGTGTTTTTTTTTTTTTAAAGGATAATGGTAAGGAACCCTTCGTGGGTGAGTACGCCAAGCACTTGGTCGGTTTTTGCTATGTTATATTATTTGCGTTTCATGCCATTTTTTTTTCTATTATATTTAGTTCAATTCAATTCAAATGCTCGTTTTAGGCCGAACCTTTTGGCAGGAAAGATATTCAACGTGATATCACTCAGGGGCCCTTCGAGCCCCCTTAAATATTCATTTTATTTTCTTAGTATTTGTTATTATAGCGGCAAAAAAAAAACATTATCTGCGAAAATTTCAAATGTCAATCTAACACGGTTCATGTGATACAGCCTGGTGACAGACGGACGGATGGACAGACAGACGGACGGACTGCCAGCGAAGTATTAGTAAACAGATAACAAAACACACTTTCATATGACATGTATAAACATATCTAGACCAAAAATATATTGTTGTATAAGAAATAATTATTTAATCGTTCCCGATCACACGGTAGCGGTCCTAACGTAACGTAAAAATAGAGTTCCGACCTGCAGCTGTGCGTACTCCTCGTGTAACTCCTCTATCCGGTCTTTGAGCAGCTCGAGCTGGTAGCCGAGCGCCGCCTTGTCGTTGTCCAATTGCGCGTTCAGTATCATCGCCTTGCGGAACTTCTCCTCCACCTCTTTCAGCTCATGCTGTTCACACACCAAGGTTAATTATTTATTACATTTTACAGACAACTGGCAATAATGCTGTTGCCATGACAAGTTAACGCCGATAGGGTAAATATAGTGTTTTCCTAGATTTGAAAACTTTTTTGATGTAATTCATACTAAATAAATTCTAATAGAAGACTCAATACAAACTCAGACTGGTTCAAACTAGTAACATAAAACTTAAGGTATTTAAATATAAATAAAAAAGAACTACAATTTATATTATTAAAAAGAACCCAATAAGCCAAAAACTGATGAACAATAAAATTAGGCCATCTACCAAACTGGGTGTATGCATGACTGTTCAATATAAAAACATTTTAATATTTTTTTTTTATTGATTGTGTATTGATTCTAAAATTTAATAATGCATTTTTAAATTAACTAGCTATTTATTTACATTTACAAACAAGACAAATTCAAAATAAAGAAAAGAACCGATGACAAAAAAAGAAGTGGCCTAATTATTTGTCCACCAGTATATTTTATATACATTAAATTTAGTTTTATTATTTTTATCGAACCATGCGTGTGCCATTACAAAACTTTACCATGAATAATTTTGTTTATTGATATATATCATCAGAAAAAATAATGTCATGCAAGTAAAGACTTGGTTGATTGTTTGCATTGAATAATCTCGACTTCGTAACTAATGGACCCCTTTCGATAATTCTCTCACCTACGCAAAACTACGTCATACGCGGGTGATATGTACTATAATTTAGACGGGCGAAATCGCTGTAAAATAGGTAGTAAACAATATGTTAGCATACCCTGAGATCTTTGATACTGAAGGTGTCGTCAGCGGAGTCTTCGGAGCTGCGTCTCGGTGAGTGTAGCGCTCCCGATCCTAAATTAGAGAGCCGCGTGCCTGCACGACGACCCACAGAATCTGCAACAACCCACAAAATTTACATGTTTTATACATGGTTTTTTAAACAGATCCCATTTTGTTTAGATACCTAATTAATTTAAATCAAAATACAGTAAAAGAGAAGAATCCTCTTATTTAGAAATATTTCAAGGCATGGAAATAAGAATGACATTATAGCTTGCATCTATCATTTGTCTCAATGAGCCGTAAAATCGACGTATGAAATGGGTTTTGTTGCTCAATATTAAGGATGTCAGCCTGACACATTTTAAAGTATTAAGTAACATTTACTATGCGTGGTTACAAGTCCTAAAATTAAAACCAATCCTTACTAACTTAAGGTTTAGCTATTTTATATGTATCAAGAACAAAACATTTAACTCATTCTTTGACTGTTTACAATGAAATGATTTTGGCTAAGAATAATATAACAATTGCAAAACTACGATATTTGTCTACTTTACATTTCTACTTGAGGTAAAAATTAGGATAAAATATATACCTGTGTACAGCCAGACATAAGCAAATATACAGAACATCATTAAGAGGTCGCAATCACAAGGTTTGTTTGAACGAAGTAAAAAATCTTATATTTCACAACATATCGTTTAATCTAAGGCCAATTAGTAAGGCAGCCTACCGTACGTAGCACGAGCTCTCCTGTCTGGGAGAGATGATCCCGACTGTCTCTGTCCATAACGGAGGACCGAAAGGTAATAAATAAGGGCAATATATATGTATGATAAGAGGTTAATATTACCTTTGAAGTCAGAGGCGGTAGCTCGCAGGCTAGCGGAGTTGCCGTACATGTCGTACGCTTTATCAGCATGGTCTTCCTGTTCACGTTGCTGCCGCTCCAACTCTCGCATACGGATCTCACGTGCCTCAGCGCGCGCGGCCCGTCGAGCCGCCAGACGTTGTTCTGCCTAAACAACCATACGGCCATAAATTAGATATGAAGTTAGAAGACTGAAAATAAGAGCTAAGGAATACTTTCATTCCTCAAATGCCCAATTTACTTCTCAATGCATGTTCTTAAATGAAAATATTGGAAAATCTCAACATTTAAGTTCGTAAATATACTGAAAATAAATTATTAAGTATCATAATTAATTACTGCAACCCACACGTGCCGACTGCGCTTTGGTTATGCAAACAATGGGCGTGTGGGCGAACGCATGGGTTGCTAAAATACATGGCTCGGATGACTGCTAACATTAATTAGTTAGATCTGCACGTTTCCCACGACAGTGACATTCGATTTGTCACGTGTGTAATGATGTGGTGACCCAGTTCACTTTGTTTTGTTTGATGCGCTTATTGTATGCACCACGAACTAGAAACAAAGCTTAAATAGCAAGATCCAATGATAATCTCTGATGCATACGCTTAGCTTATATAGTGTCTGTATACCTTGAGAGATTTGTTAACAAAATTAGTCAAAACAAACAAAAAATTATAATAATAGATCATAATTATATATTCAAATATAATAAATCCTATAGTAGTGTAGGGTCGTACATATTTGCCCTATTTTTATTAAAAAAGTTTGTACGGGGTGGATGAAAGGAACGCTTAGTGAAGCTGAAATTAGTAGGATAGTTGAGCGTACGTACAGAACAACATAAAACTAGCGTATAATAACGTTAATATGCCTACTAATATTAAACAATAAAATAATACTTTTTAGTTTATATACCAACGCATATAATTTACGTACACGAACGCTTATCTCTCAAGAATCTTCCTACAGATTGAAGATAAGATTACGCAAACATGAAGTTGATATTTATAAGACATATTATGGTCACGTAGATGATTTATATACAAAGCGATCTATATTTAGATAAACTCTGAAGCTACGTTGAAAGCTTTAGGTGGGAACGTATTATTATATTTTAACAAGATTAATTATTATATAATGCAACACTGGCCTCATCACATTTTTTCTGCTGCCTCCAACATACATATACTACGTAATAATTCTAGTTTTACTCTTCCGATGCTCGCTTCTTATGCATCTCTGCTTCATATAGAAATAGAAAAAATGGTGTTGAAAATAGAGAGAGCGAACTCATATCATACCAAGTTTACCATTATAAGAGGGGGCGATTCACTACTACATAGTAAAATATATATAAATATGCGGGTGACGGGAAATTATGGCGTAACGTGATACTGATGTACACATGATATGGACGCGTTCTGCTCGCATATTGAAATAAAAAGTTACCTAAAGGAGAAATTAAATTGCCGATACCATTTTTTTTTTATTAATTAGGAATGGGAACCTTTTATCAGGTACAAATAGCCTTAGACCCGCTTAGTTTAATTTGCGGCATCTAAGTCCAGCGCCGGCTCAATGAAACTTGGCACCCTAGAAAAAACACTGCAACCAAGCCCATTGAAGCCACAACAAAATAAAAGACTGATAACGTAGATACACCGATTAAAGTGTAATTCTGTCAATCACAAAAGAAATTCCTTTGTACTTCTGGTCTAAAAACGTACTTTTGAATTCAGCGGACACCTCATGTCCATAGAATTGCCGTACCTCAAATACGAGCTCGCTAGGCAGTTGCCTCGTTTGCCCATATGGACTGGCTGGCGCTGCACAAGCAGCCAGCGATAGTGTGGATTGCTCAGAAGATCGCCAATCTCCGGCTCGGGACGACATTATAAGAAGTCCAGATAAATAGTATCAGTCTCCGCAGACCACTTGGGATGCTTCCAAGGACTACCGGTTAAGAACCACTGATCTAAGAACATCACATCAAAATTAAACTCGTTTATTCGATCTAGGCTGGAAACCAATTGTGAAATGCACTGTCGTTATGGGATAATTCTGGTCATATAAACGTATCAGAAATGTTATATATAATAAATCCGATAGTGGTTAAAGATTTCTTTTTTTTTTTTCATTGTTAATGCTTAGACCGATTACTGGCAATGAATAACCGCAGCGATAAGACAAATATGCGATAAAAATGTTTTTGTTCAAACGATACACCCTTCGTGTACGAAGGATTTCCAACTATGTCAATATAGACTAGGGAATGCAATCCCGCAACAAAATTTTAATCCAGGTATTTGCGGGACAGAGAGGTCTGTCCCGTTGGGTCTTGGTATTTGCGGAATCGCACAAGTTTCTGAAAGTCATTGAAAAAAGAGAGAAATCCTGTATAAATAGAGCGGTCGACTCGATGGAACGAGTCCTAAAATCGATCCTTTCCTTCTTTTGATTTAACATATGTTCTTGTTTGAAACTTTCAAGATATGATATAAAGTTGTGTTATGTGTACAAACTTATTATAAGAATGACTAATATTTTGGTATTTCTGCGTTTGTATTAATGATGTTTACTGAATTTTGTCAATATATTATGTTACTTTTTGATGAAAAAATTACATTCAATTTACTCACCTAACTGCAATAACTAGAAATTGGTTTTTTAAAGTAATTTGGCAATGGAGGTCTGACTTCTGAGGTATTATTGTATTTTGGATAAAAAATACCTTTTTCCCTAAACAATTTGAGAACTGCTGAGCCAAAAGAAAGAATTTAAAAAAGAAATGTATATATTATAATATAAACTCATATTCACATAAAAACACATAAAAATGAAATATTCACATAAATTTAGATGAAACAGACCCCACAAATATAAACAAAAAGTAAATCTCAACATGTTGCATATCAGTAGCACTGGTATGAGTTTATTATTTTCCCTAAATCCACACATGGCGATGTCAGTCCAAAAACGCAACAATAAGAATGACGGTTTGTTTGCCCGTTTTGCTGGTGACATCACTTCACCGGCTTATGTGTATTTAACAGGCACGCGGGTCATCCTTAGATGACAAAAGTAATAGTTCATTTTGAACTCTATTGCCAATGCTTTGATAATAATTGTTAAATATTCCTAGCGCCGAAATTTTTCACAATAAGTCTAAAATATCTATTATACCCCTTAAATTTCCAAAACCTCATTAGGCATCGTAGAAAATTAACTATTGCTCTTCTTAGCACAATTTTGGTCGTGTTGTCGTAAAGGTAATGATAACCGTGAACGCATTAGCTGGTGGACAAGGGCAAAAGTAACCCACAGTTGGAGGAAAATAATCGACAAGTCCACCAGCACTAACAACACGGTTGATTAAAAATTAAACAGTTTAAAGGTTGTAATTATTTTATATGGCCGAGGTGTAGTTCTTTATGCAGAGTCAGCTTATTTTATAATGAAAAATGTATCGGTTCGCTTTTTCTTAGTTTCATTGAGTGCGGCCCTGTACGATGACCTGCTAACCAAATAACTACAAAGACCGACAATACTTTTTGCTTCTCAGTTACGGTAATTGTAAAATAACTAGATTTTCACCGTGAAATAATTCGACAAAGAAACAAGTCGGCTTTCCGTTCGTTCAACACGTTGAAGAAAATGGTCAACGATACGTACAAAATCTGCCGTCGCAAATGACAATAGGACAATATTCGAAAGTTTACAAAACCTTTTATGGGGTAACAGCAGCTAGTGGATTAAGGTATTGTAGAAACTCTATAACCGATGACGTCAACCTTGCCTAGGTCAAACGGAAGCCCATACAATAGTGCGGTGCATGTGTTAGTTCAAAATAAATATTTGATAAGATTTTCAAATATGTATGACGTAACGCAGCAATAATAAATCGTTAAGGAAAACAATAAGTTGTTACTGCTCTGCATATGTTGTCTTAAGTCATTTTAATATAAAACCCGTTCTTTTGATATTTTCTCATGTGCCATAAAATAAGTTTACACATAATATTTGTGAGACACTACTGGGTAGAGCAGTTTGAAAGAAATTAAGATAGCATGGACAAGGTTCTTCCTATTGTTAAAAGAAACTTAACTGCTGATAACAGTAATAAGCCAAGATAAATAGACTACAACAGGTCTAGTAACAACAAAAACAGGCCGTATTGTACTCACATACAACAAAACAACTCTGCATGCAATCCGTAGAATAATCTCAGGTGACGACATATCGAGGTTGCCGGCGCGGCGCACGCGGCCTCTATATTCCGCTAGACAATATATGACACAAGTGCTCTTAACTGCCGCCACACGCACACTAGCTGTCCCTTGTCAATGTATAATATATATTTTTTAAATTTATTTACTTACAGCGACGATACCATAAGTAATAAATTTTTCAATATAATATAGTTTATACATTAATCTATATTTTTTTACGACAGTCGTGATAATTATCCCATGGCAAGGTTATTTCACCGCGAAACATGAGATCTCAACTATTCTCATTTTTTTAATGGCAAGGTGATATTAGATTTAGCCTCGATCGTTACAGCTACGTAAATTTGTAAATAAATGTCAAGGAACCATGTTCAAGTTTCTCATTTGTCTCTTATAAATAAAGCAAACAACACGATGTCATAACCAAACAAGAAACTGTCCGCCTCTAACATACTATTCAAACTACCCAAGAAATTAGTGAGATAGGATAATTTTTGTCCTTGTAAAAATGACAAAGTTTTTAGAAACAATTTAGTTAATAGGGAAATTCCCTAAGACTCAGGAAAGGAGTTGTGGTATTTGCAAATGTTAGTGATTCAGCCTTCAGTCAGGATATTGAATCATTAGAAAGGGAAAAACCCAAAATGAAAAGACACAAAAATGTAACATTACAGAAAAAAAAAAAAAAATTACGTACATGATTTTGTTGGTCACCGAGAATTCCAACTATTGACGGATTCTGATCACCATGAGAATCTCGTCGCAAATCAGTTCCAGCTTCACCATTACTACGACTGTCCACATCACTTGAATGATCACTATCAGCACATATATGATTGTTTATTTTAGTTGGCTCTATGTATCCGTTTGAACTTTGCCTAGACAATTTCACGTTTTCTTTTTGCACATCTGAATTCACCGTTTCATTAACAGGTATTTGCGACCTATCGCCGATTCGTTCTACGACGGTTTCTTCGTCGGTATCGTCGAAATCACCGTCAGTGAATGTTCCACCATTCTCTTCATCACTATTATCAGGCGTCGCCATCTCGGATAACTTGCCTAATATCATTATTTATCCACCGATGTTAACTATTGTAACACTTCAGCAGAATCAAACAATCGGGTCCGCTCACTGTTTTCGCATACCCAAAGCTACCGCGTCTGTCAACAAAATACAACGTCGACCTCTTCAATGTGCAACCGACAGGTTGCAGCATCATAAGTGCCGGTTGAATAGAAAGGAAAGACGCGATTTTCGCAGTGGTCCCCTTTAGCTGCCTACACTAACACTTTACGATAACATTTATATTGCGATATCAGTTATCTTATCGGATTTTTTACTTCAATAAGCTTTTCTTAACTAAACTCCTTTTGTTTTGGTCACCAAATTCGTATTTTAATAATGTTTATGTACATTTATTAAAACGGTAATCGATATTGAATACTACACATTTATCTACACTCGATTATTTTGATTGATTGAGATCACACGAACAGCTGTGTGACAGATGAGGGTACCAAATAAAAAGTGAACACACCACACAAGCGCCCGCGTCGACGGCGACGTACGACTGTCTACTTGACTTGACTAGAGTGAGGCCGCACTTCATATCATAGCTCGCACAGCGGCTACAACGATATCGTTTTCGTAATAGAATTGACTGTTACGTAGGTGCATATACAAAGCGGAGGCGGATATACCAAACACAGGTAACATAAATTTTATCTTTGCTGAGTTATGAATTTCCATAAGGCATTTATATTACTTCGCCACAAACGAGTTCTTATTTTATTATTCTTTACAATAATAAGGATAAGGATGTGTTAATGATATCGCTAGTAGGGCTAATCCACTTGTCCTGGATCCTTAGATTAAAAAAAGCTTTAATCTAGACATTGTTGAAGCGGACATTGTGAATCAGCTATAATCATTGGGAGAGAGATGTCACTGTTAAACGCTACGCTTCTTACAATATCCACCTTTTTCTTCTAACGAGAAGGACCGACGTAAATCATGCAATGAATCATGGCGTCAGAGCTATAGACAGAATGTATTGCACTTCCTACCGCGATGTCCGGTGTTGATTAATCTGGCATTGTTACTCACTGGCAACAGTGCAACACCTTACTAGAGGCAACTAATTAACATTTCAATTACCACAGTTTCTACTATGATATTAGGACATATTTTAGAGATCAACGTCCTAGATTCAAGCAACCTTATTGGTATAATTACGGATACATTATAATATTTTTCACATATTTTGTAAAGCACAAAACCGCCACTCATCGTTGCCTAATTGCCTATAAATGTAACTTGTTTTGTTTCATTATATAAAATATCGAAACAATATAATAGCATAACGGTTTCCAACTTAATTTTAAAGAAGCTAAACCATAGTAGGGTAATCGCTTCGGCTTAATTTATATACCGTAAACGAGCCAATCTACGAATGTTAGTAATTATAATAAACTTGATTTAGGTATATAATATGGTATTGAATTACTAGGTCGATAGGATGTGTGATCGAACACACATTTGTTGGAAAACAAAACTAGGAAACTGCCGTCCGTCGGTAATCTCAGATCATTATTTTTACCCGACTACAACGAAGCGAAAAGGAAGATTATGATTTTGGCCGGTATATGTGTATGTGTTCGAAACTACTCATGGTAACTGTACAAATGAGGTATCATTAGAAGCGTCTTAATTGTCCGCGTGCTTTAAAGCATAAAGTTAAAAATTAAAACAGATAGTACAGCGCAATACCAGAATGACACCATACCACCTACCTACCATTAAAAATTTTCGACATGAAATATTAGATTCTGTTACGAGATTAAAAGTGTTTATTTTTAAGTTTGGGCAATAATTATGATTCTTATTTGTTGTGACTATCAGCTCATTTTTATTTTAATTTTTTCCTATGTTGTATTTTATTACAAGCTACGAATATAGTGTACATTTTAAAAAGCCTTATTACATTCACTCAAATGAATTTTTTGTTTGTGACGGCTGTATTGCTTACGGTTGACCATAATTTAATCGAGTCTAATATAATTTAGCAAAAGAAAACCTATATTAGAAGTTGTTAAAATCTAATCAGTATCTAATTTTAAACAAACTAATTTCATCATTTTTTTTATGTTACACGTTGTATACGAGTATATTAGGTTGGGGGAAAATGCAACGCAAGCCGCTATAAAATTGTGACGTTTATGGACCAAGTGCAGTTTCTGTGAGAAAAGCACAGATTTGGTTTAAGCGTTTCTAATTCGGAAATTTTAATGTCAAAGATGCACGTCGCTCCGGTCGCCCTGTTACGGATAAAATGGATGCAATTTTTGAAAAAAGTGGTGTAAGATCGGTATTTCAGTAGTTACGACGTAGCTGAAGAACTAGGGATTGACCACAACAGTTTTGGCGCATTTGAAAAAGCTGGGTACACAAAAAAGTTGAATATTTGGGTCATTGATAGAAACCTAATGAACCCTGTACTCATTTGCGATTCTTTATCAAGGTGTAATGAAACCGAACTGTTTTTGAAGAAGCTGATAACTGGTGATGAAAAGTGGATCATGTACGATAGGAACGTGCGAAAAAGGTCATAGTCAAAGGTCGGTCCAGCTTCACAGACTGTGGCGAAACCCGGGTTAACTCGCGACAAGGTGATGCTGTGTGTATGGTGGGATTGAAATGGCATTATTCATTATGATCTTGTTGCCGCCAGGCAGGACTATCGATTTTGAACTCTACTGTGAACAACTGATGAGATTAAAGCAAGAAGTTAAGAAAAAGCGGCCAGAATTAATGCAAGACCTCATACATATTTTACCACTCAACAAAAAATAAGAGCTTGGTTGGGAGGTGCTAATGCATCCGCCGTATAGTCTTCTTAGAATTCTTTAGGCAGTGTCAGGTTAACATCACGCAAGTACCACCAAAACCACTTGACGCGGTTTTTTGATCAGAAGTTTCAAAATTTCTATAGCAATGGGATCTTGTACTAATACTAATACTTTAATTAAATGTTAAAAAATGTTTTGAATTTTCATATAAAATGGGAAGAAACTTTTTCCCCAACCAATTATATCTATTGCTTAAATACACTTGAAAATTAATTAAATAAAAAACATAAGTTCATAAACTAAAACCCGATTACATCTTAATCACGTTCTAAAAAGTTTGAAACAAGAAATTTATTTTGTAGCGATCTCTATATGTTTTTTTATAGAAAGTAAATTTGATTGATTGAGTAAAACTCGAAAATAGGATCTTTCTAAATACATATTTATATGAAGTCAATTTTTTGTGAATGACTATGGAAGTATTTTCTATAGCAAGACGGACGACGTCCTAAGTCCAGTTGATTTAATAAGTATCTTTACAATGATAATAAATACTTAATTAAAACACCAATAAAATTCGTCTCGAATATAATTGCATTACCAACCGTTCTGACTGACAGATATAACGAAAATGCACTTTTAAAAATAAACATCTAATTATAGCTAATTTTCCTAAAATACAATAATTAGATAGCAGCCTCATATGTGACATTGAATAAATTATCACAGGAAAACCTAGTACAGTTACAAAATACTGTGATAACAACTACATAAGTACATATGTCATTGTTTACGAGTATTATAAAACAATAGAATGTTATTAAATGATTTTGAAATGTTATTAACAAAACATGAACAAAATCAATGATAAAGATATTTAAATCAGTTAAAAGGTCAATTTAAGTACAATATAAATAAAAAGAAACGCTAAATATGTTGCTAAAGCTCGAAATTCGAGAAAGATGGAGATTATAAAATTTACCTAATTTAAAAAAAAAGTTAAATGAAGTTTTAAGAAGGTTCTTACTAAGATATTAAAATGGAGATGAGGGGAAAATAGTATGTAAACATAACTTCATCATACATACTGAGCGTTACAAGGGTAGTCTTCTAGTATATATAGAAATTCAAATTGTAAATCAAAATGACATTATAACAAAATTAGACAAAACAACTGAAAAATATATAACTATCTCTACAAATAGTGTGGAAGGTGTTTTGACGAGCCGTACAATATTTAACTTACACATACACTTCAGAAGTCACCAGTTTCTCCACTTTCTATCACCACCGGATTGAATTGTGATAAACAAAGGTGCAAGGACGTCACGGGATATAGCTGGGAACAATACGGCAAAGTACGCAAGTGGTACCACAAACGCAACCACCACTGGCCGTCACCACCGGCATTATGCGCTTCAAATGTTATATTATCGTCATTGCCGCTGACCGCCGACCATCTATATTAAACATATATTTTTTTTCTGTTTGATTGTTCTACCGCCTTTGTAAAGCTTTCTGCTACAAACCTCCAGTTGACTCGCAGAGAAATACCTATTGACATTAACTCCGCCATTTGCACACTTTTATTTGAGCAATAAAGTTTAAATAAAGAAATAAAGGACATCGCCGAAAATGGCCCTAATACCAGTAAATATTAATACTTCAATAATAATTATTAATTTATTTATTAAATTGGAATCAAATATTTGATTGATACGGACAAGCTGCGATCCAAAATTAATATTTAAAAGTACTTTAATAGTAACATTTTTATTCGCAAATATTCACATTCAATACACTTAAATTCTATTGAGTCAGATGGATGGACACGTCAGATCAAGATCATTTAATTTTATTAGATAACCTTTAAATCATCGAACACAAAAACCTTAAATTGACTGAAAATAACCTTAAGTATAAACGTCAAATCATTTACTAAAAGCTCCATCTCTTGGTGGTTTTCCAAATAAAACATAAGGACATAAAAACTGAATATGATACAAACTAAATTCATTAACTGTTGATAATTCACTCTTGTTTATTCAGAAAGATTGATATTCATACGACATATCCTAAAAACTACTTTGTTTCTATAACATTACCTTTATATTTCTCGTAAACATATTAACATCATGTCAATTACAGTATTTAAGGCGCCATCTTTTGATGTAAACCATCAAAAAGCTATAGGTTTTTTTTAAATTTTAGGCTTATCAATAGGTATATTATTTAACTATTAGAATGATTTGTCTATTGACTAACAAACTTTTACAAGTCACAACGAAAAACAGACTTTCTTAAAGTTAAGTTTTTTTGCTTCGACAATATAGACATCAATATCACGTCATGTACTTAGAGTACCATCTCTTGGTGGTTTTCCAAACAAACTATAACCTCAAAATGAATTATATTTTGCGTGGTAATAAGTTCTGCAACTTGGTCGCGGTCAAATAAATACATAATGAGAATTAGTTAGTGACACACAATAAAATAAGTATTTTCCTATATTTTTTTGGGTTCGGGGCCACCAATGTATGGACGTTGAGCAATGTCCTTTATTAGGAAAAGAAACGTCATCGAGATTCCATAAACTATTAGTAAAATTGAGAACGAATACTCGTTTTAATCTAGAACAAGTCATAGCTTAACTAGAAAATACCTAACTTAAAGAACCGCCTAAGCAGATTTGTTTTTAACAAATAAAAATCACAGATCTTTGAACTGTAAC